AACACCTCGCATCTAAGGATTCAACCCTCTGCACCAAAACACTAAGTTAGAAGACATTTACAAGTAAAAGGGACATTAATAGATCAAATTGCTAATATGGGTCATGGTTCTGGGCGGGACAGAGTTAAGAGAGAGCATTGTGAAGAAGGGTGGGTTGAATGTCCACACCCTGGGGAAGGCAAAGCAGGAGTGGGGTGTTGGGCAGGGGAGTAAGCTCAGGGGCCCAGTTGGAGCTAAGCCTGTGACAGGCCAGTGGACTGAAGATAAATTTCTGTTCATGATTTTCCTAGATTGACCCAACCTGTAGTTAAATTACTTATATGTATTGAATAAAATAGATTGGAATTGCAATTTGCTTGGAATTTGCATTTGTATTGAAAAGTATTAAGATTTTTGTTGAAAAGCTAAGGTGAAAGCCAAGTTCAGTGTGTCCCCTGTGCTGTGTCCCCATTGAGGAGACTGTGGAACCCATGCAAACCTCAGTTATGTTTTTGCTTCTCACTTTGGCCCCCATCCGTAATCTTGTGCATGTTCTACTTCCTCCGAGGCAAGAAGCACAGTAGGTCCTCAATGGTTTGTTCAATCTTTCTGTTACAGCACTGGTAAGAACAAAATTAAATCAGCCCATAGTGAATGAGGAGGTTTTTGATAAAGGCAGAGTCACACCGGCAGATTGCAACCTGCCTTCCATGCTGAGTTCATCTCTATTACGTAGTCACATTCTCTTTGGCTCGAGAGGCCTGAGGTTAGCGCAGGGGCAAGTGTCCTTCCAAGAGCCCATGGAGAGCTACAGGAGTAGAGAGGAGAATTTTTCCCTCCAGAGACTCCTCTGTCTTCTTCTCAGACTGGTCAAGCAATCAAATTAACATCAGATTAGTAGGAGAAAAGAACACATTTATTAACATCATACGGGGAGTCTACATGATGTGGATCCTAAAAGTAGTACAACAGCTTGTGGGCCGCAGTGCCAAGCTGAGTGTGGCTGAGGGACCTGGGGCGCTCGGGAGGGAGAGGGGCTCCTATGGCAATGACAGAATGTCTGGGATGAGACGTCTGCCCTGCCTCTGAATTAGGTTTCTCTGCTGCAAGTGGCACTCCAGGCAAGCATATCCCAATTTGGGCAGATACTCCAACTTCCATTCTTCGAGGTAATGGCCAAGTTATAGGAGTGGCCAAGGTTTCTCTTGAGCCCAAAGGGCCTCAATTGACCTAAACAGGCTCCACATGCCAAAGTAACACATCTCGGGCCTGTATGTCCTTTTTAGTTCTTCTCCAAGGAAAAATACCAGAGACATACTTTTTACATAAATGTCAAGAATGTGACATATCTTAAGGAGTATCCTTAGGACTAACATGAAGAACCTTTGTCTGGGGCTCAGGTGACTCGCCAGTGTGTCCCTAAACCCCCACCCCTCCGTCTGCCCTTGAAGCTTATTATTTTTTAAGAGGTATTTATTGCTGCATACAGAACTGGGGCCAGAGGTGCAGGGGGTGAGAGGATTCACCAGAGACAGAGTGGGGAGCAGAACGGGCAGATTAACTGAAACACACTCCTGAGGGGAGCAGCAGACGGTCAGCAGAGTTCTGCCACGCCATGTGGGTCACCTCCAAACCCGTGCTGCAGTGGCCGCGACAGCTTCACAGGTCTGTGTTTTAACCCGTTGCGCCACCAGGGAGGGCCCACTTTTTTTTTAATCCATCAAATTTACTTTTCTTTTCCGCTCATTTGCTAATAGGTATGAGTCACTTGGTTTTTTGTCATACCATATGCCCGGAGGTGCTTATGTGGTAGAAATATTGAGACATAATTTTTGTTTTTATTGAAAAGCTCATTTTTCCAATGCCTGTTTCTCTTTAAAACCTATTCTAATTCCATTTTCAAGGCTGCACACATTTTTAAGACTGGTCTGGCTCACTGGCCACAATCTCTGAGGAGCGGAGGGACAAGCAGAGGTACGAGGAGAAAAACAACTTTTTGAGAGAGGGAGGGTGAGAATGTGGATTGGCACAGGGGCTCCATTGGGGAACTGAACACTTGGAGGCAGAGGCAGTTACCAGTGTTTTCAATTTCACGTCAGAGCCCCTTTGACCCTTAAAGAGAGGGGTTTTTGCCTTTACGATCAATCAAAGCTGGGTTTCTTGCAGAGCTGCTAATAGTGGGTGCTTTGAGGATGGTACACGTGCATATTTACATTGCCAGTTGATCTCCTTCAAACTGTGAGGGCCTGTGAAATGTTCTCACCTTTTTGTCTACCAGTACTCTCCCCTACTTGTACCGAGGGAGGAGGATGCCAATGGACTGAGTTCCTGGGTGCGAGGGTCCTTTAGCCTCGCACTAACAACGCGATAAATGAAACCAACATTTTTTCTTCTTAATCCTGACTATTTACTTGCAGGTTAGACATTTTTGCAAATCATAAGCAAATAGGCAAGCTCTCAGAAGCTGTGGGAGACCGAGATTTTGCTGGACCTGTGTTTGAGTGCTGGGCACAGTTGCTAAGGGTGGTGCCAACGAGGGAGTGTATGGCAGGCTCTCCCAGGCCTCTCTCTCCTTGGCCTTCCCTTCAGGGCCCCCGCAAGCTCTGGCTACCAGTCTTGCTGGAGTGAGTCAGCTTCTGGGGCCGTGCACCAGCCTGAGTTCTCTCAGTTGGAGCCAGTGTCTGAGAGGCCTCTTCAGACACAAGAAGTGCAGCCTGATTGAAGTGGGAAGCACTGGAGAGGGGTGTGCACGCCGATGCACATCCTCAGTGTCAAGTGCTGGGGTCTCACAGAAGTCGGGGACAGCTGGACTTAACTTTTCAAATCAGGCAGACAGCAGGAAGAGGTGTGGACCCGGGAGGGCTGTCAACATGTCACAAAAGGGTGTCGATGAGTGGGAAGGAAGGTGAGTTCTCCATGCACTGGCTTGTGGGCATATGGGAAATCACATTTTCAGAAGGAGCAATCATTCCATTCTTTGCTTCACAAAGCTTTTGGCAGCCTCACTTGAGCTATTGATTTGTTTAGTCTGCAATCAGGACTTTGTGAGAACAACTACTTTCAAGCAGGAATAATTGCACTCAACAGGTAGCTACCTTTCTTATGGAGATGTTCAAGACTTTGCTTCCCACCTGCCTCCCTTGGGTACTAGATGATAGCTTTGATTTGTTTTTGTTTGTTCTTTTTCCTCCCAAAGCAAGCTGCCCAAGCCTTGTCCAGTCCTCCATGCTGCCCCTGGGTTGAGGGAAGTCAGAGAATGCAGACCACGGACACCAGGCCACCTCACAGAAAGCAGCAGTGGCAGTCCCTGTGTCCCAGAGTGGCGTTACCTCTGACTTCTGTGACATCTGACTGGACATGATGAGATCCCATGAAGGGAGATGGCAGCGGAGGGGAGAGCCAGGAGGCTGACAGGGGGCCCTGCCCTCCTCGCTTTAGCCATTTGGGCTCAACTGCAGTGGCCGTGGAGGCTGCAGGTGCAGCTGATGGGGTATGAGTGGCAGGGTGGCCTCAGGGCACTGCCTAAATGCTGGGCTTTTGTCCCTAATGTCCCCAAGGAGAATCGGGGTGGCCCGTCACTCACAGACTTCCCTTTGCTTAGTCTCCTCCGAAGCAGGATGGGGTTGGGAGTCCTCAGCCTCAGATATTTCAGTATTTCTAGAAAAGCAACTTGGCAGCGATGTCCAATAATACACATGACGATGGGGCTGGAGAACCTCATGGCACAAAATGGAGTTGACTTTTGGTGGGGGAAGGCTCCCTAGGCTGTATGGCGGCCTTCCCAGCCACCCCTCCAAGACTGGGGTTTTTCAGAAACGTGACTGGGAATCATTTGAGAGGTACGTCATTGGAAAATGTCTGTTTCAACTGAAATTTTGAGATGCCTCTCCAGCAGCACTATTTCCTCCATGCAGTGTGGTAAGGCATGGCCAGCACATGTACAGGAGGCCAGACAGTCACTGAAATAACCGGATGTGTTAGAATTGCCTTTAGTTAACGGGCTGCGTCTGTATAAAGAGGTTTATAAATGATTCATTTTTGCAAAGGTATTTGGGCTTGTGTCCTTGCATCGTGAATTTTGAGTGCCTGCATTTCTGCCTAGGAAGTTGATTCTCTCTGACATGAGTAACAAAAACCATCAATTTTGTTTTGTGTACAGTACTTGCCTTTAAGTACGTTCCATAAGAACATAGCTACTTATGGAGGGTAGAATGGGGCTACTTCTTTCAACAGAATTTCCAGGGCAACTTCGCATCATTGCCAGAGTTCTTAAAACTCGGTATTGGAAAGTGTGCTCACTGTCCCCCTTGTCGTTTATTGACTTGCCTCTTTTCTGTGTAATTTGAAAAATTGGAATCAAGCATGTGAATGGATGAACTTGCATTGAGGAGAATAGGGCCTGTTGCCAGCCCTGAAGCTCAGCATTATCACCAGATTTCAGAGTCTTGCCTTCCATTTCCACGTCTTTCTTCCTAAGTTAATGTCAACTCCGAGCCGTGTATACCTGCTGTGGTGATATTAATTGATATAAGCAGAAATGGACTGAGAGTAAATTTTCCCATGAATAAGGTAATTTCAGTCAGTCCCAAGGATCTCTTACTTTTGCTTATAAGCAGAAAAATTTACATTAGATATAAAATGCCCAGGGTTATGTAAGCTTATAGTACCCATTGTTTAGGAATAGTCAGCATAAGGGTATATATATTACAATCTTTTGAAAGAGGAGGAAGCTTTTGTTTTGTTAAGGAACGTCCTTAGGGTCCAGAACTACCAGGTGATATTGGGAACGATGATAGCCATGTGCAGTGGCTGTAGCATCCCCAAAGGGTCATGCATCCCACAAAGCATCATCTTTTGCCCCATAACCAGCTGGACTAGTTTATAGATGACTCTCCATTGGGGGTGTGAGAGTAAACTGAGCTCCTGCCATTTTGAAGCAGAAGGGTTCATAAGCTGTGCTTCAGACTTCTGCTAGACCAGCTGGTGATTTGTTCGATGATCTTTTTTTTTTTTTTTTTTAGTCAAACTCAGGCCCTGAATTGGTTTTGTCTGAAGATGAAAAAAGCGACACTGAAGATAAGGAAGAGACAGAACTGGGTGTCATGGAGGATCAGCGTAGCGTAATTCTTCATCTCATTTCACAGCTCAAACTTGGAATGGATTTGACCAAGGTAGGTTGGCATATCCCACTGGGTTTGTGAGCAACTGCATGGTTCTGTGTCTGCCCTGCCTCCCCAGTCACTTTCTCCTCACTGTGGGGAGGCTGAGAAAGTCAGGGCGGTGGGGAAAGCCAGAACTGTGGTCAAGAACAGATATGCCGGTATCTTCCCATGATACTGTAAGGCTGTCTTCCCATGAATGTTTAGAGTGGGAACTTTGTGTTGGGTTCTCTGGAGGGGCCACTACCCTGCAAAGCAGGAGAAAAGCGCATAGGAGGGGATAAGGAAAATGGAAGGTAGGAATTCTTGGTTTCCTGTTGTTTTCTTGGGAAGGTGAAAGGTGGCTGACGGCATTAGGTATGGTGTGTTGGCCATCACAATGACACAGGAAGAAGGCAAATGGGAAGCCAGGAGTGAGCCCACTGTCTGCCTAGCCACAACCTGCTAACTTGTTAGCTGTAACCAATCGTCTCCAGAGGCCAGCCTTGTTAGGGAGCTAGATCTCACTATCCACAGTAAAGAAGGAAACCTGCTGGTTGATAAACCGTATAACTTGGTAAAAGTGTAACTAACTCCTCTGGTTGAGGAATCAAGAGAACCCAGCTCCCAGCCACTGAAGGCAAATTGACAGCTGGAATAACAGAGTTGCCATTTGTTTCATTTATCGGTTGCAGAGGAACTAACTCCCCCAAATGTGGTGGCTTAAGATAATAACCAATTTCTTTGTTCATAGCTCTGCAATGTGGACTGGGCTCTGTGCAGTTGTGCTAGTTTTGCCAAGGTTATGTGCCTGTCATCAGCTCCTGGGTTTATTGTGGGCTGGACTTGGCCAGAACAGCTGAGCCTTTCTGTCTCTTTCCTTGAAGTTGTTGAACTTTTCTCTGTCCATGTTTCCTTCCCATGTGGTGTCTCCAGCGAAGCAGTCTGACTTCTTGCATGGGTGGCTTGAAGTTCCCAAGAGGACAAAAGTGGAAGCTGATTAGCCTTTTGAAGGTTTAGACTGCACACTGGCATGGTGTCACTTCCATGCCATGCCATTGATTAAACAAGTCGCATGTTCAGCCCAGATGGAAGAGGAGGAGATTCTACAAGAGTGTAAATTGCAGGAACTACACTTGATCGTGAACAACCAGTGTAACAGACTTCCGTTCCTCACTCCTGAGAAGGAGGAGGTTATGAGAACAGACTGGAGAAGTTGGTGAATGGCATACATTCATACTTGGGTGTATTTGGTGTGAGATGTAGAAGACTGAGTCTTGAAAGTGGGCCGACAGAGGGTGTCCAAGGCCATGAAGTGGAAGTGAGCTCAAGGAGGTGAACTGTAAGGGACAACAGCCCCAGGACTGAATCATGCCAGTATTTAGCTGTCAGGAGATGAGAAGGATCCAGCAAAGGATACTGAACAGGGTCTGCCAGTAGGTAGGAGAGAGACCAGACTTGTGATGTGATGGTGGTCACACCACATGAGTGTTTCAGGAGAGAATTTTCAACTATGCCGAGTTGCTACTGATGGGTTAGAAAAGATTAGGCTTGCAAATTGTTTTTGGTTTTGTCAAGTCCTGATTGCACTGTGGTCAAAGACGAGAAGAAATTGCTAATGTGATATAGTTTATTCAAAGAATTCCCATAGAAAAGGGTAGCAGAAAATTGGGTAGAAGCTGGTGGAGCAACTAGAATTGAGAGACTTGGTCTCTTCAAGTAATGGAATACTGATGGATGGTTAGGAGAGGGAAGAGGAAGGGGAGGTGGCTGCAGGAACTGTAGGAGGTGAGCGAAGGCCTTTTGCACAGAAAGAAGAGGTGTCCTGAGAGCTTGTCCACTGTAGCAGCGGGCAGGAGAGCAGAGGGGTGCAGGCGCTGGCTCTTGCAGGAGAACCCCAGGTGTTCTGCACATGACTTGTCTTGAGGAAGGAGGTGGGATTGCCACCCACCACCAGGGGGCGTGTGAGACTTTTAGATCACAGTGTTAAAGTGGGACTCTTTAGCAACTTGTCTCTTTCTCCAGTAAGTTGAGTTTCCAGGTCTAGGCACGGGGGAGCATAAGGCACTGGATTAAATCAGCGCTGAAGTCTGCTTGTTTTAGCACAGGGCAGGGTGGTGGGGGC